TTGTTTTTTTTTTTTTTTTTTTTTTTTTTTTTTTTTTTTTTTTTTTTTTTTTTGTACTAGAGATTGAACCCAGGACCTTTGCACTAAGTTACATCTTTAGGACCTCTTTAATTTTTTATTTTGAGACAAGGTCTCACTAAGTCACTAAGTTGCCTAGGCGGGGCTCAAACTTCTGATTCTCCTGCCTCAGCCTTCCAGAAGGCTAGGATTAGAGGCATAGAGTCACCATGCCCAGCTGATTCGTGATTTTTAAAAGATCTCTCCCAGTGTTCAGTGGAGGGGTACAGCAGAAGCAGAAGTCTTCGTGTGGGGACAGAGGTGTAGGCTTGGGTGAGTGTATCAGTTTGACTGGGCAGCCAGAACAGAGTGGCACAAACTGGTGATTTAAAACAACAGGAAGCGATTGTCTCGTGCTGCTGGAGCCTGCAGATCAAGACCACGGTGGGGCTCTGCTCTCTAAAGGGGAGAGACCCTCCTTGCTCTTCAACCTCCTGGTCTTTGCTGGCAAGCCCTAGCCACTTAGCAGTCCAGTTATTTAAATCTAGGATGACCAAATTTGCATAGTTTTCGTTAACAAGAGTTCGAGGCCAGCCTGAGCTACATAATGAGTAATGAGTTCAGGGCCAGCCTGAATTACAAAGTGAGACCCTGTCTCAACCCCAGCCCCCCAAAAAGACAATTTAATCAAATTTATTTAATAAATTTGTGTGATGTGTGTATGATATATCTTAAAATATTCAGTACACAGCACAGTGTTACAATCTGGACAGTAGTATCTAGTTTCTTTCCAAAATCTTTCTGCATTGTTGCCTTACTTGGATCAACACACTTTACACTATCTTGTCAGCTTTTCCTTTTTTCCCTATGGTGGTATATTTTCAATAAAATGTCTACACTAAATGTACTGGTGAAGACATCAGTGATGGATATCCTGGTTGGCATTTCACTACCCTGTATTTTTCAATTATTTGGTCTATTAAACCTAATCTAAATTTTAAATGACTTTTTGAACCCCCTTGATTTGAATAAATAACAAATGAGTTTCATACTGTTTGGCCCAGAGGGTGCATAAATATTTTATAATATTTTTTCCTGACTTCTTGTTTACAGGGTACCTTTAGATGTTGGTCACCTCTGTCAACACTTCCAATAGAATTACGATCGTTGAGTACTATTGGAATTTTCTTAGTTTCATTTCTTCTTTCAAGTTCTGTCATTTCTGTATTGCTAGTAGTTGACCATAAGGAGATGTCTTCTTTGTCTTTCCACTTCATAACAGACTTTTTCTCTCTGATATTCTAACTTTTCTCCATATTCCATTTTCTTCTTTTGTAGGTCTTTTGGCACATCCTTCCTATTCAGTTTCAGTGTCCCAAATGTGTCCATTTTGCATTATAGAAGAGTTGTCACTGAGTTTTGCAGAAGTATAAAAATTAGATCTAGTGTGCTTATGATAAGAGCTTTTTATAGATCGTAGCACAAAATTATAGGTTATTTTTCACAAGTAAAAGACAATAATCAGAACTTGCTATTAGGTTTCATTAGAAACAACCATCAGAGGTAGTACAGCCTCCTAAATAAAAAAGTATGCAAAAGATAGTCATGTTGACATAAAACAAACAGGCATACGACTGTATCTCCTGTGAAAAAGAATCAACTTGTTGAAATGACACCTGCTCGAGTCACACTTGGGATGGTCAGTATGCAACCAAACGCGCTGCCCGAGTGACCCTTGGGGTAAACTCATGTGATCGATGTTCTTTGGCTTGGCACTTTGGCACCTGCTTTCTGCCTCCATCGTCACATGGGATGGCCTGTGCCTGTCAGGATTCTCACAAGGGCAACATTCGTGTTGGGCTTATGCCTCACCGACTCCAAATGACCTCATTTTGACTTGACACATTTGCAAAGGTCCTGTTTTCAAATAAGGTCACATTCACACCTACCAGCATTTAGGACTTGAACATAACTTTTTGGGGAGCCACTATTTAACCCATGATGAGCCTCCTGCTCTGGGGAGGTGGAGGTCAGTGACGCTTTTACAGACGTCGTGAATGGCTTGACTTGGCTTGTGGCCTCTGTTCCTCAGCGTCCCTGCCATTACCTCTCACCTTTGCAGTAGGTCCTGGATTAAATCCTTCGTCATAGGTCAGAAGCCATCTCCTTAGTACTTTCAAATGTTTTCATATTTCCTCTCTGTATTCATCAGCTTTAAGTTACCGCAGTGAAATACCCAAGACAGCTAAATTTATAAAGAGACAGAGGATGTTTAGCTCACAGTTTTGCAGATCCAGAGGCATATTGCCTGCGTGGGCTTGGTTCTCTTAAGGCCCTTGGGCTTTAGTCACATGATGGCAGAGACCCATTGTGGGGAAGGGCTGACACTGCCAAACAGGAAGTCAGAGAAACGGAGGCCCTGCGCTCCCTTCTCAGGGCATGTCCCTGTGACATAAGGGGCTGCCCTAGGCCGCACTCCCAAAGGTTCCACCTTTCCCCATAGAGCCACTGCAGGGACCAAGCCTTTAATCACAGTGGAACACAGTTAAAATATATCTAAACTCAACATAGCCCCCCAGTCTCTTGGTAAAAAGGTAGAAATAGCAAAGAATGAATATTAACCTTAGTTTACAACATCTGCGAGCACTTTCTCAGAAAGAGGCAAATTTCTCATTATTGCAACCACCAAGATATTCAGTGATTGCAGAGTTCCTGCAAAAGTCTTGAGTGCCTTCTTAACACTGAGTGTGGCTTCTAAAGAACAGCGAGGAACCGGTCAACCAAAGCCCCATCAAGTGACTTCTCGCCCCAAGGAGGATTATAAAAATAAAAGGCAGAACTGCTACCTCTTCAGAAGCATTTCTGTGTGTCGGCTCTTTCTAGTTCCCCCAGGAATAGGGAGTTCAGATCGTAGCACTTGAAAACAATTTCTTGTGCAGAGGGCTGGAAAACGTAGTGTGGTCAAAGCCAGGCGGCAGTAATATTATGAGGGCAGAGTTAGCGGGTAGTGGAATAGCCATGTTGCTGGTCCCCCGATGGGGACTACATCCTGCTTAGTATGAGTATACTTAGCTGTTTTAGTACTTCCAGAACACCCATTTGCCCACTGTCTGGGGCCCTGGGAGAACTGGGGCCTGTCCTTGCCGTTAATCTGACCTGTCTCTTGCCCCAGAAGGGATGGCGGCCCCCTCTTGTCCCTCTGGGAATTCTCAGTATTTGGCCTCTCAGGAAAATCGCTCTGCCATTACTCCTAGTAGTTTCCTCCTATATCTTACTGACACTGAGTTAATTTCATGAAACAAGTATGTGAATTTACTTTGTAAGTCGAACAAGACACAGTATATGAGGAATAATTTTCTAATTCTCTAGTTATCAAACTTACAAGCAACTGAAGGTACCATGGGATTTTCCTCCCACCTTGGGGTGGGAGGCAGGAGGAATCCTGGGCCACCTTCTCCCATCTGACCTGCCTCAGCCTCCAGGGCTGCTGTCCTTCGATTTGTTTTGAATCCTGGGATTTACCTAGTATTTTGTTCGTGGATTTTCAAGTAAATCAGAAAAAATAGTTAAGATATTTGCGCATGATTTTCTGTAACTTTGTAAGGAGGGGAAACTGTGGATGAGGTATCACATGGAATGTTGAATTTTCGATTTGGAATTTCCTGAGTTTGGGGACAGTTTTAGAGTGAGGACCATGAAGATGCAGCTCATGGGGTCTGTGTCTAGAACTAGTTCCCTCATGATCTTGTCCCAGAGTGGGCAAGTGACCAGGTAGGGCTTATGAAGTGATTCTTACCCAGATATGCTGTGTCCCTCCCTGTCACCCAAATCCCCCCACCCCCCGGAATTGCCTTCCTGATTTACTCTGTTACTTAAAATCTTACTGCACGAGACTTACCTCATTTTCCATATTCTGTGCAGGAACTCCCACCAGCATATCTATACATTTTTACTTCCTCAGTGCCCATGATAATTTATCTCAGTGGCTTCAATTTTTAATACTGGATTGCACATTTCTTTTTATCCCACAGCACCTCATACAGGATTTGGTAGAACACAGCGTGTTCAGTTAGGTGTGTTGAATTATATCATATTTATCAACCAAGATTCCAAGCAATCATAATTTAAGACTAGTTAATCCTTTGTGATTAGATTATAGTATCACATGCAAATGTATTCCTCTGAAATTCTTTATTTTGATTTTAGGGAGAAACGGTGCAGAAAGGAACTTACACCGAGTTTCTGAAATCTGGAGTAGATTTTGGTTCCCTTTTAAAGAAGGAAAATGAAGAAGCTGAACAATCTTCAGTTCCAGGAACTCCTACGCTGAGGAATCGTACCTTCTCTGAGTCTTCAGTTTGGTCTCAACAGTCTTCTAGACCCTCTTTGAAAGATGGCGTTCCAGAGGGCCAGGATGTGAGTTCTTCCAATGGTACAGCCTCACTACGGGCTCTTAAGAATCTTTGGTCTGCTCTGCTCTTGGCAGCCTCCATGGCTCTGAGCTTCTCTTTTGTATCCAGAAACTTAATTTGAAGACCCCTTAGCCCTTGCCTGGCTGTGGCCTACATCAAATCAGCTACTTTTATGATTTGTTGGCATATCCTGACACTGCAGGTAGACGATGGTATTCTTTAGCTCTGTTGTCAGATGTAGGCCAGAAGTAGCATGTGCAAGGACCTACTAACTCCTTGGTCATTATTGGCACTTTAGAGTCTTTTTTTCTTATTCTTCAAGCCTGAGAGCCACGTCTTACTCATCTCCAAATGCCCAGCGGTCAGCATAGAACTGAGAACATCCTGAGTTCAAGTGAATCTAAATGTATTCTAAGTCTTCCAGGCAGAAATGCATGAGACCTCCCTTTAGAGTAGAGTTACCCCTTGGTATTGGTAGGGCATGGGTTTCAGAACCCCTGCAGATACCAAAACCTGAGCATGTCTAAATCACTTGTATAAAGTGGTGTGGCATTTGTATATAATCTACATCTTCCCATGTGCTTTAAACTGTCTCTAGGTTACTTTAATACAATGTAGGTCCTATATAAATAGTTTTATATTGAATTATTCAAGGAGTAATGACAAAAATAAAAAGCATGAGCATATTCAGTTCAGGTACAGTTTTTTTCCTTGAGTGTTTTTGATCTGTGGCCCAGAACCCATGATGCAGAGGTCTGAGTGCATATATGGATCTTCCTTGCTAGCCAAACCCTCATTATCCAAACTGAGGCACCTGGGTGATTCAGTTAACAAGACTAAGGTGGTAGCTGCCCCTTGCTAGTCAAACTCATTATCCACATGTACCGTTTGAACTCAATTACTGGATTTGGCCAACATTTTGGGCCTCAACTCTGTTTTATTTGTTGTTCAATGTTGTTGGGGTGCTGGTGATGGAATTCAGGACCTGGTGCATGCTAAGTACCCCCAGCCTTTTAGTCTATGTTTCCATTCTTGAGTGATGCAAATAATCTAAGTGAAACATTCGTTCCACATCATTTTGTTATTTTTGGAATAAGCATTTGCTCTTGCATTTGGGTTTGTTAGGCATATGCTAGAAATCATGGTGCTCTATTTCAAGGAAAGCCACACTACAACATACAAATGCTGTCCTCTTAGTTCTCATAGACTCCTACAAGTGGGATGGCCGGGTCCTGGATAAATGCATTTACAGATTGCCAAGATAACTTGTACACTTTACTACATAGAAGATGGATCATTTTACACTCCTCCAAGTTGTGTATAATTTGCTTGTTTTCCCACAGCTTTGCTAACAAGGTGCACTGTCAGCTTCTGGAAATATTTTGGGTACTATTTTGTCTCTTACAGACAGAAGATATACAGGTAACACAACCAGAGGAGAGCCGTTCTGAAGGGAAAGTTGGCTTCAAGGCCTATAAGAATTACTTCACAGCAGGTGCATCCTGGTTCATCATCATTTTCCTTGTTCTTCTAAACCTGGCAGCTCAGGTAAGTCATATTTGTGTCCTCAGAGTGACATTTACACACTCACGTTTATTCTGTGGTCACTGCATTTTGCACCTCACTTGGAATTTGCACTGAAGTGTGGTGTGTGGAGGACCAACATGAGTGATACTAATTGGGGTTGCTAGTACATGACAAAGAGCTTCTAGAGGAGAAAGATACTTTGTAAAGATTTTAAGATGTGCTGTGTAGTTCCCCAATCTTGTTGTCTGGGAAGTTGGGCTTGGCCTAAACCGGAGGCAGGAGGAGCACCTCAGTTTTCTAGAACCTTCCCTGTAGTCGCACACTGTTGTGGTACAGAGTTCTGAATTGAAGTTGTGCCAATGCTGAATTTTTTATTCCCCTTCTCCAGGTTGCTTATGTCCTTCAGGACTGGTGGCTTTCCTACTGGTGAGTTATTCCTGCTCTGACATGGAGTGCTATGAAATCAACATGAAGCTTCACTTTTCTACAGCATTTAGGGGAGAGGTGGAGTTTGTTGAGCCTTCTCTTCAAATCCTGACTTAGTTACCTGAAGAAAAATTAAAGTTCTTGCTGGTGGAGTGTGACCCATAATAGTCTCCACCCACGTCTGATCCTCAGCTGCATGTTGAGAACTAAAAGCCATGATTCAAATTGAATTTTTATAAGGTGGATGTATAAAGTGTTGAGTGCACTGGGAGTAATTTTCCAGTGCAAAACATTTTGTTTTTTTTCAAATTGAGGTTCATTTTTTTGTATTTATCTAAATTCTCTCTGTAACTTAGTATTTTTTTTTCTTTTCCTTTTCCACAGGGCAAACGAACAAAGTCTGCTGAATATCACTGTAAATGGGGAAGGAAATGTAACTGAGAAGCTAGATCTTAACTGGTACTTAGGAATTTATGCAGGTAAAGTTTAATCATTTGGTCTATTATATGAGAGCCTAAAATGCTTACAATGAGTCAGTGTGAGTAACTGGGGCTTCTAGGAATAATTCAGTAATATCTTAACAGATTAGGAGTCTGAGTCGCATTTACCCTGTGAATTAATTAGAATAATTATTTTTAAAATCTACTAGAAGAAGGAGGCTGAATGGAGACTCTTAATTTGCTTTATACTGGATTTTGAAAGTTAAACTAGGATTGAGCATTCAGAAAATCAGCCACTGGAAATATGTGGCCATTGTCTATTCTAATAGGTTGCTTTAGCTAAATCTTAATATCATTATATGGCTGGGCAAGGAGATTAGAAACGGATCCCCACCCTGTGGTTCGGATTGTTCCAATTCTGTCTAAATAAACCCTGGCTTTTATTGAACTTGGATGAAATCCTCTGGCAGCAAGGACCCCAAAATAAAAGCATTATTCCCTCCCAGGTATGCAAAGCTCCCTTCTCTACACTGCTCATCTCTCGGGCTTCACTAATTACTTAAGAGGGAAGCTAAGCAGGGAGAAACCCAGTGTCTGGGAATTAGGGCTCCTTCTCTTCCTTACCTGGCGATCACAATGTTATCGCATCCCCAACTGTGTGATTAATTTAACATTTGGCTTGCCAAACTAATATTAACACTGCTCTCTGTTTTCACAAGAGTGCTTGGAATATATGTAGCATTGCTTACTTTTTAAAGGAAATCCTCATCTAAAATTTTAAATATATCCACAGGAAACACAGAATTGTTTTTTTGGAGGCAGAGTGAATTAGCTTTGTAAGAACCCACTCCCTGAAATTTGGTATTTTGTTGATCTTGCTAAGAAATCAAAACCATACTAGTTATTTACTATCCAAATTGGTGGATGAATTGAAACCTAAAGGAGAAAGAAACCAGATTCCATTATCTATTCAACTAGGGCAGAGGGCTAAGGAAAGTGATGTTACTAGAGTTTCAGAATTTGTGTAGTTTTCAGAGAAAAATAATAATAGTGCTGTGTTGTTACAAGGGGGAATATTTATTCCTGAAGCTGTCCCCACTCCCATGTAGCACTGTGAATTAAAAAGTGTTAGGAAAACAAGGGCTGGGCACGTGGCTCAGTGGTAGCGCACTTGCCTGGCATGCTGAAGGCACTGGGTTTGATACCCACTCTCCCCACACACACACACACACACACACACAAGACAGAGAGAGTGAGCATTTGATCTTGTGTGCATAGTGGCTACTCAGAGTGTCTTAATAAAATATATAATTATATTAAAATGCTTTGTCTTTATATAAATCAGTGGCAGATTAGTTGCTTATTGCAATTATTTTATGTTAAAATATAACATTTTCTTGCGATTTAGCTATTTAAAAGCTTTTCCATGTGCAACTTAATGTGATATTTTCAAATTCTTTAAAGCTCCTTGGGCATTTTCTACAAGGAAAAGGTAAATCATTTCTCCTATTCCCTGTTACTATCCCATGTTGGTACCAAAACATGCCAGGATGTCAGACAGTAGGATGTGTTGTAAATAGTAAGATTTAGAATATGGAGAAGGGGAGAATCAATTATTTATAAATGATTACCTTCTAGGTGTTTGAGAGAATTTGTAATTAAAGTAGGAATACTTGATGAAATTGTAGTTTGCACCTCATGTAGTTTTCATTCAGTAAAAGAAAAATGAACTATTTTAATTATTCTGTATCCATGTATGTTGCACACACATTAAACTTTTGTACTTATTTTTATACACTGCCTGACCTGCTTTAGCAGCCAAGAAAATGCAGATTCCGTTTCTGATGGTTGCTCCTTTTTTTTCCAGGTTTGACTGTAGCTACCGTCCTTTTCGGCATAGCAAGATCGCTGTTGGTGTTCTATGTCCTTGTTAATTCTTCCCAAGCTTTGCACAATAAAATGTTCGAGTCAATCCTGAAAGCTCCAGTATTGTTCTTCGATAGAAATCCAATAGGTAAGTCAGGTGCCATGTTTCTTGTTAACACATTGAGATTGGGCCACATTTTGGTCTTTGAAAACAAAGGTGTTGCCAGGAAACAATTGCTATGTGTGTTGATTCATTTTCTATGAAAAGCTTCCTTGATATTTTTCTCCTATCAGAGGAAATCTAAATACCAAGGAACATACAACCTGCATTGCAGCGCACATGTACGAGTGTGTATGTAGCAATAAATGGATGTTCGCTTCGCAGAGTGATTTAGACGTGCATTTGTTGCATGGTGTATGAAGCATCCCGCATCCATGCAAATGTGTTTAGATGTAGTCAATCAGTTGCTGAAACATTGGATGTGCTCACATTGCATTAGCCTAGACCCCTTCTGGACGGGTCTCCCTAGAAGTGGAGCTCTCTGAACGTGAGACAGGGTTTGTGTTCTTTGCTTGGGAAGCCCATCCATTTTTGTAGCCCTTGAGCTTTTGAACAGGTTTACCTGAAATGGTAATGAAATAATAATAAAACCCAAAGGTTAATAAAATGTAAGCACATCCTTCAGAAAGTTTTTACTCTTGTGTTTTGAAAAACTCTTTTCCTAGGGCTGGGGATTTAGCTCAGTGGTGCTGCTGCCTGTCTTGCAAGTCGAAGGTCCCGAGTTCGATTTCCAGTACCAAAAAAAAACAAAAACCAAAATACCTTTTTTTCTTCTTTTTTCTCTTTGTCTTTGGTGGTGGTTGTTACTGTCACCTGTGGCCATCTATTAGCTTTGTAGTCCCACAGTGAACTTGGGGTGCATACCAGAGATTTTCTGGTCCCCATATAGAGAGCCTCGGTATCTTGAGTCTCCAGAGCAGTGCACCTGTTAGTTTCTGGGTGGCAGAAGCCTCTGCCCTGCATCCCTCTGACCCATCTTGGCTTCTGAAGGTGGCCTCTTTCCCCTGGGTTTCCGAGAAGAGTTAGCCATCACCACATATCCCACCCTGGTCAGTTGGGAAGCCCAGAGTGGCTCTGTCTATGCAGATGGTCGTTGAAAAGAACCCGTAGGGCCAGAGGGTGGAAGCACAGGACCAGCTGCAGCCTGGCCATTGATTGGCTGTGTGGCCAAGGCCAAAGATGTGATGCCATCAGGTGGCAAATCCCAAAGCAGGATGTCTTGGTTAAGACATGGACCCTGGAGCCGGCTCTGGGTTCAACCTTAGCCCTAGTACCTAGTAGTGATATCTGGTTGTGGTTATATTTACACCCATGTGGTAGTTACTTAATTTCCCTCTGCCTTGTTCTTATCTATGAAATGGGGACGCCGTTCTTATTTACCATATTGGAATTCTGTGAAAATTAAGCAGGTTCATGTGTGCCCTGGTGCTTGAAGCAGTGTCTAACCCTGTGGTCCTTGCCCAGCTCTGTTAGCAACAGTGATGGAGCCTCTGAACTTCACGGTCCTTACCTGTGGGATGGAAACAACTCCCACCCTTCCTACGTGACATGTTTGCTGTGAGGGTTAAATAAGACTGTTCTGGAAAGCATCTTGAATAGATTTTCCCAACACCCGTTTGGCCTGGGCAATGTGCAGAGTTTAAGGAATTATGACCTGCAGAGTCTGCACAAGCTACAGTCTGACTGCGGCAGCAGTTAAGGGTGGGGGGGTTGTCTGTACCATTGGGGCTAAGAAGCTGCTGACTCAGCCAGTTCCAGACACACACTGTGATGCCCAAGGGGGCCTGATTCTGTTACCAAGAGCCTGGGAATGCGGCCGACTGTGGTTAACCAGGCCCTTCCAGGTCAAGACCCAGGGCTTCTTCTCCTGCTGATTTGTTCGTTGTGAGGAGATTTGAGGCCAGCTCAGTCTGGGAGGTCACTCCTCTTAGAGCTGCACACGGGGATTCATCCTGCCGCCCCCTGCTAGATCTGTTATCAGGGGTTTTATCCCTTCAGTGAAGGAAGAGCCCACATGAATATTCCAGGTAGACCTTGTTTGCCAAGTGTGCTTAGAAGTTGTGAATCTTTTTTTTAAGTTGTGAATTTTTTAGTGGTACTTTTTCAGTGGTAGACTTAAAAAAAGATGAAAATTGTTTCTCAGATTTCTGTTCTCATTTGGATAAAAATGTTTGCACTTCTGTCCAACGATGGACATACCAAAGCTTTAAATTATACCCAATAGCTTATATTATTAATTTACATACTGTAATGGCTCTAGAATATGTATTTTAAAACTCACCTCTAGGGTAGCAAGGTAGCAGTTCTGTCCTTCAGTACTGTCCAGTGTGTGTGTTAAATGTGTGGAAGCCCTGCCACCCCGTCTCCCTCCTGAGTTACAGGGGGTGTTCTCTGAGCAGTGCAGGGAGACAAGAAACAGCTACTCTCTTCTTAGGAGTTCAGAGCAAGCTATCAAGGGAGCCCTGGGGCTCAGGAAGAGTTTCCTAGGAGCAGCATCCTGATATCCTCGCACATTCTAGAAACTGAGGGAACGGAAAGAACGCGTACCAGGTGTATGTTCAGGTGTGGGGGGGAGTGGTACGGAAGCTTCAGGTTGAGCCCACTTGCTTTGCCCCCTGCAGGGTCCCCGGCTTGGACTCAAGGCCTGGCCGAAGTTCCTGATGGCTTGGTGGCCCTGGAATGTGGGAGCATCTTTTGCACCATGTAGGACTGCTCCAGCCCATCGTGCTATCCCTCCTACACCCTCACCCTTGTTGCTAATCAGTGGGAGAACCTTTGTCCTCAGAGACCCAGACCTAAAATACTGGCTCTGGTACCAGAGTCCCATGTTCACTTGTTTACATTTAGCGGTCCACGCAAAGCTAACTTGAAAGGTACATGTTTCCTCTGGAGAGTGAGCTTTCCCTGGCTACCTCATCGTTCCAGATAGCCCATGTCCAAGGAGATCACACCTTGGATGTAACCTCGCCAAGATGTTAAGACTTAAGTTGCTGCTTTGAATTTGGGTATGGGCACACGAAGTTTGTCTGTTATATGGTGTGATTCCTTTACCATGCACTTGTCTTTCTTAATCTTATAAATCTTAATATATTTGCGTAGAATTGAGCCAAAGCATTGTGTCACCGCCTATTAAAATAACTGTCAAGGGACGCTTTTCTTTTACTTCTTCTCCATCTCTTATTATTCTATCTGTCCTGTGTTTTTGTTTTTGTTTTGTTTTTGTTTTTTTAGAAAGGATCTCACTATGTGTAGTTTAGGCTGGCCTTGAACTCACTATGTAGCCCAGGCTGACCTCAAACTGTGAGTTTGAGGCCTGTCTCAGCCTCCCGAGTCCTGGGATTACGGGCATGCGCCACCGTGTCCAGCCCCGTGCACTTTGGTAATAGTTTATGTGTGCCTGTTGCAGACACTCACAGTTTCAGCTGTTGTCTGCACTTCCTCCACAGTTTGATCATGACCTCACTCAAATAGCGCATTTCACACATTATCTGATGCCATTGGCTGCATCTGCCTTTTCTTGCCAAAATTTGTCTTTGCTTTTAGTCTCATTGCAGTTCAAACGGGTCACGCAAATACCGGGTCAACAGTAAGTCATTCAGAGTGCAAGAGCTGGCTTCTCTTTTAAATGGAAATCAGGTTTGCCTTGCGAGGGCCCAATCTGTGCTACTTCTACCTTGGGCACAAGGGGGCAGCAGGCTCTGCAGGATGAGGGGCAGGTCTGGCATGTGCCTGGCAAAGCCCAGGTTTGCTTTTAAACCTTTCTCATAAATCCCATATTTATCGCGTGAGTCTTTGTACCTTGATATGTACTGATAGAGACTTTTGAAAGCATTTTCTTTATTTTTTGAAACATTATTTAAGGAAATATTAAGATGTCGTCCAGGAAAGTCTTGCATTTCATACGAGGGTATTTGGATTCCAAACTAACACTTTGGCCTGTAGTAACTGAAATAGACAGGGCTTCTTGGCTGCACACTTTTTAATTCCTAAAGGATAGATTCTGGCCATTTGTATGACCTGCTCCTGTGTCCTTTGAAACATGACTGAAGGGAGAAAGAGAACCACACTTTTTTGAATCATCATCCACATCATGAGAGTGTTTCTGTTTCAGCAGACACCATTTATTCCACCCAGTTTCTGGCTCCCCTGCTTTGACTCGGAGACCAGCTGAGTGGCGGGTTATCCTGGCTTCTCTTGCCTCGTTATGGCCAACTCTGCTGATCTTACTGGGCTCCAGATAAACATTTGTTTGCCCTTTTTACTTTTTAAATTTGGCTTTAAGAAACTGAGCCACTGGTGTTGGTAGACGTGTAGATGTTGGTAGATGTGTTTGTTTATCCTCTTGGGAAGTACAGCATTAATCTTGATTGATGCCCACCCAGTCTGTTCCTCCACACAATTTATTTTTCTGTGATGTGTGTATGCTCATTTATGCATTTTGCATTTTTATGTAAAAAAGTACAAGTTTATATCATCATCTTTCCTTTATTGCTTGACTTAAGTGAGAAGTAAGATATAGAAAAAAAAATAAGAAACATGCTGACTGTTGTATTTTAATTTTTTTCCCTGGAAGGTGCTTGTCATCGTGGCACATGAGCAGTGGCCCTAGATTTTGAGGCAGACTTTCTCATATCCTCCCTAATCAAAAATCTGGAGTTGCCCCAGTGCCAGTTCCCAGCCCAGCTGAGTGGGAAATTGGGCCCTGTAGATGACTTCCGCGATGTAAAATACCTCAATGAGGCTGTGCATCTTACGGGGGCTGGAGGAGGAGGGCTGCGTGAGCTATTGTTCCCTTTCTATAGCCTGGAAAGGGACTCCCGAATTCACTGCAAGTTGCTAAATAACTTGCAAACAAGCGAAAAGCGAATTGAAAGTAACACGGTGAGCTTTTTGTGTTATCAGAAAGACACTCTCGCCATACTACTTACAAAATCAGTTGTCAACTTGCAGCTGCCCTCACAGAAAAGAAAAGTCATCAATAGAGAAGAAATCTAATTGCAGGGATGCCTGTCTGTTTATTCAGTTCAAATGACCACTAGAGTTAGTGCTGAATGCATATTTTAACAAGTGCAATATTTCAGCACTGT